CTTCTGGGGGGGGCCCTGGGGGGTTTTCCCCCCCCCCCCCCCACGCCTCCCTGGTTTGGCATCTGGTGTCTCCTGAATCTGGGGTGGGGGTACCCAGGGTTCCCCCATGGCTGATCACCAAGCTGGGAGGGGCACAGGGGGCTGCACGCTCCCTGAAAGACCCGGAAGTGTACTGGAAGTACACTCCTGTGGGACGCTCCATCTGCCCCAGCATCACAGTGATCACGAGCCGCGCCTGGTACCTCGAGGTATGTAGAAAAAACATTTAAAGCTGTGTCTGTGTCTGAATAACTGATTCTCTGAATCAGCATCAAATCTTCAGATTCAGATTCGGCCAAATCGAATCAGGGACAGTGATCTGAATCAACTAATTGAATCACTGTCTCTGATTTGGGCTGAATCTGAATTGAATAGGGCCTGCTTTGCACATCCCTACCAGCTAGATCCTGCTACAACATGGTTTGAAAAAGCATGCAGATATTCAATGAGTATAAACAAATGTAGCCTTTAGTTATATTATCAGCCAAGTGATTGGATTGGTTGACAGCAGGGAAAGTGCAGAATTAAACACAAATTTAAAGTGTGTTTCTATTTCATCCTTTTTATACTCGCATCAAAAATGCACCACTGAAGCTTACAATTTGCTAATTAATGATCTTTATAATTACAGCATTCCTAGATACCTCCCATATCTACCATACCAGGTTTGGTTGTACTGTCCCGCATTCTTTGCTCATGATCAATTAAGTTAGATGTCATGCACATTTATATTCTGCTGATTAATGAACTTAATCAATTACAGAATCCCTATGCAACTATTATTTCAGATTTGGCCATACTATCTTACATGCTTTTCTTATCTGTTGTAGCAGTTCACACTGATTCTATCTACCTTGCAATGTTCTTGAACAGATTCCAAATTTTCTGATACACCTTGCTGCCTCCCCCAGAACTTTAGATTTTTAACTCCTACTGCCCCAGTTCTGCCTCATGGCCTATATATTCCATTCCTTTTTTATAGCTGAGGACATGGTTTATTTGAAATATATTCTATTTTGTTTCGGTGGTTTCCTTAACCAACAGCACAATCATAGAATCATAGAAGTAGGATCGGAAGGGACCCTGTAGATCTTCAAGTCTGACCCCCTGCCTGGGCAGGAGAAAAACTGGGCTCAAATGACTCCAGCCAGGTAGGCATCTAGCATTTTCTTAAAGACCCCCAGGGTAGGAGCCAGCACCACTTCCCTCGGAAGCTGGTTCCAGATCCTAGCTGCTCCGAATGTGAAGTAGTTCTTATGGATGTCCAATCTTCTCTTGTGAAGGCTGAACAGGTTCAGGTCCCACAGTC